TATAATTTCCTATCCTATTACTGCATACTATATTTTGTACATAAAAAAAAGCTAATTGGATTTACCTTTTAATAATTAAAGGAAAAAGTTAGTTGCAAAGTTAACATAACCTCTAACGAATTTCCAATAACTATTTCTATTTCTATTTCTTCTTAACGAATTTCTAATAACTATTTCTATTTCTATTTCTTCTTAACGAATTTCTCTTTCTATTTCTATTTCTATTCCTTCTTAACGAATTTCTCTTTCTATTTCTATTTCTATTTCTTCTTAACGAATTTCTAATAACTATTTCTCTTTCTATTCCTTCTTAACGGATTTCTCTTTCTATTTCTATTTCTATTCCTTCTTAACGAATTTCTAATAACTATTTATATTTCCCTATTTCTATTTCTTCTTATTCTTTTTTACTTCAGTGAATTTTGTTTTATTCCTAAGATCGTAACAATTTACTTTAGAACTTTTTTTTTCACTGAAATACCCAGAGAGAGAATGAAATACATGTAGCACTTTAAACAAACTTCACTTTTGAAACGAGCAATGAACACTGAACAACGTAACTGGCAACTTTGCCTTTAAATGGATGAACATTCGCAACGTGTGGGTGTAACAAGTAATTCTTATTAAAAAAAAAATGGACTTGATGTTACAGAATGCATATTGTAAAATGCAGGAAATATGTATAAAAATTAATTAATTTAATAAAGTGCATTCTTAAGAGATTAACGATGTTCGTCTGTGATGTTTAGAGCGACATACAGTCATTTACAAAAACAGTTTATGCAGCTTATGCTTCTAAACGAGGGAACGCTGGATTTTCCGTGTTAAATATTCGTCAGTGTCATAACTATCATCGTCATTATTGCCATCATCTTCATCATCATTATCATATTCATCCTTATCCTCATCCTCATCATCTTCATCCTCGTCATCATCATCATCATCATCATCATCATCATCCCTTATCATCAACAATCATAATGATAATAACCATCATCATTATCATTACAGTATATCGTTAATGATAATAAATATTGAATAATAAAATCACAAATGTCATCTATAAGCTATTAATATTATCATTATTTGTGTAAAAACAATATTTTATTTATTTTTCTCGTCACTCTGTATGGAATTATATCGTATTATATATTGGAAAATATCAAATATTATAGTTCATATTTATGTTTATTTTTCTATACTTGTTACAGCATGTCCCACTGGAGCTGGGTTAATTACTTAATTATTTATTCTATGACTATGTACATCTTATAATTAATTACACATAGCAGTTGGACGCTTCTAAATTACAAATAATTTGTTACTAAAACATTTTTAATTACACAGTATTTCCATGTCAAAAAAAAACTTTCTGCTATCATGTAAATACCGTATAATTGCATACTTTTGAACAGGTTTACCACTATTACCGCAAATGATATGAATGCGACGCCAAAGCCATGACTTCGGTATTGATTGGAGTTAGTTATTAATGATTACCTGCATATCATGATTTTAGAATTTATACAAAATTATAATACAAATAGGAGATTTGCAAATTTTAACTGAAATGCAGACGTTTCCATGGTTGATAAATTAGTTACATACATCTTAATCCGAAGTCTAGGCTCCATCAACGCATTCGCAAGGTATGCGGGAATGGTGGAAACTATGCTTTTGAAATGAAAACTATTCTTATAATTACAAACATTATGGCATAAATTGATACCATTATATCTCATAGACTGATTTTTTAACAAAAAACAATAACTATGTACAGTTGATACAATAAGGTATAACTTAATATTAAATGTAATATTACATTGCATGATATATACTGAATGAGAAAAGAATAAATATGCATATAGTCTAAAATAAAAAATCAGAATATATACTTAGCACTAGAATTAAGTCTTAAATTCTGATACCAATTTCTAGATCAACTCAACATTAAAAAAAAAAAAATGTTGCATTGAATGAAAAAACTATCAAAATGCATTCACAATCTAATACAAAAAAAATGATGCAATTTTATTTACATTTTTTTCAATATTCTTAGTAATTACCACTTATTCACTTCAGACTCATTATTCAATTCATTTGTAATCCAAAAGATAGAAAGAGATGAGAAGAGAAACAGTGAAGGGGGAAACTAAGGAAGGCGAAGAAGAAGTAAAAAAAAAATTACGAAGATGAAGAATGAGAGAATGGATGATCATGATGTAGATGATGATGATGATGATAATGATAATGGAGAAGGGGAAAAGCGAAAGAGAGAGAGAAAGATAAAAGACAATAAGTAAGTAGAAAAGGACATCATTATGAAAAGAAGAAAAAGAAACAGAAATCATAAATAAGACAAACAAAGTAAATATACAAACCATCTGCAACAAACAAACAAACAAATAAAACGCACACACGCATCAAACGAAAGAAAGAGAGAGAAAAAAAAAGTCTCACGTCCATATATAGACACCTATTTCATTCGAAAAGATAACAACTATTCCTGAGAAGGTGCAGGGACTGATTTATAATCTTTTCTAACAGTACAAACAAGTCGAACTATCCATATACTAGCTGCAATGGCTGCAATTGATCCAATGAGGTAGTAGGCGCCATTATGTCCCAGGTTGTCAGCTACGAAACCTAGAAAAGAAGGGAATTGAATATAGATAAAAAGATATATATATATATCTTATATTGTTATGTTGTTATATTCGTTTGATATACTTTGGTCTGGGGAATAAGAAGTGAGAAAAGAGGAATTAATAGATATTATATATATACATACATACAATAAAAAAAAATATGTATATATATATTATATATATATATATATATATATATATATATATATATATATATATATATATATATATATATATATATATATATATATATATATATATATATATATATATATATATATATATATATATATATATATATATATATATATATATATATATATATATATATATATATATATATATATATATATATATATATATATATATATATATATATATATATATATATATATATATATATATATATATATATATATATATATATATATATATATATATATATATATATATATATATATATATATATATATATATATATATATATATATATATATATATATATATATATATATATATATATATATATATATATATATATATATATATATATATATATATATATATATATATATATATATATATATATATATATATATATATATATATATATATATATATATATATATATATATATATATATATATATATATATATATATATATATATATATATATATATATATATATATATATATATATATATATATATATATATATATATATATATATATATATATATATATATATATATATATATATATATATATATATATATATATATATATATATATATATATATATATATATATATATATATATATATATATATATATATATATATATATATATATATATATATATATATATATATATATATATATATATATATATATATATATATATATATATATATATATATATATATATATATATATATATATATATATATATATATATATATATATATATATATATATATATATATATATATATATATATATATATATATATATATATATATTATATATATATATATATATATATATATATATATATATATATATATATATATATATATATATATATATATATATATATATATATATATATATATATATATATATATATATATATATATATATATATATATATATATATATATATATATATATATATATATATATATATATATATATATATATATATATATATATATATATATATATATATATATATATATATATATATATATATATATATATATATATATATATATATATATATATATATATATATATATATATATATATATATATATATATATATATATATATATATATATATATATATATATATATATATATATATATATATATATATATATATATATATATATATATATATATATATATATATATATATATATATATATATATATATATATATATATATATATATATATATATATATATATATATATATGTGTACATATATACGTATATATATATGTGTGTATATATATGTATATATATATATAGATAGATAGATAGATAGATAGATAGAGAGAGAGAGAGAGAGAGAGAGAGAGAGAGAGAGAGAGAGAGAGAGAAAGAGAAAGAGAGAGAGAGAGAATAAATAGAGAGATAAATAGAGAAAGAAAGAAAGAGACTGAGATAACTAAAGATAGAGAATGCTGATTATTTGTTCATTGATCAGAGAAAGTAGAAGAAAAAGCATTGATTCTCAGATACTCACAGCCAGTGCTCAAGGAAGCAAAAATAAAACCAGCGGTATAGGCAGCCTCTATAGGGAACCAGTTCATGTCAGAGAGAATGGCGATCACGAGCCTCAGCACGGCCTGTAACAGAGAGGGGAAACTTAAACAATACTATTGATACAGAAAAAAGGTGAAAATAAATGAGAAATGTAGTCTGGATTTATTGCGATGTCCTTCTTGGGTTTAACTGTAAAGGTTTCTTGGATATTGAATATATTTAGTGTATTTACAAGGAACCAGTTCATTTCAGAGAAAGTGGATAGGGAGGAACTAAATAAGAAATACAAATGCAACAATTATTAAATGAAATACTGCACATTAGTATTTTGGAAAATAGATTCGTTTCTTGAAGTGCTATACTTGATGAAATAAAAAGTGAAGCGGTGTTTGGTGGTCCTTATTACAAAATCACTCTTTTAAGAAAATCAGAAAATAATACCAATTCTAATGATAATAATAAACACACTTAAATAAATAATGGTAATAATATTAAAAACTACAGTGATAATGACTATAAGAATAAGAAGCAAGAGAAAAAAGTTAACGTATAATAATAATAATAATAATAATAATAATAATAATAATAATAATAGTAAGAGCAACAACAACAACATATAAACAATAATAATGACAAAAAGATGGCTTACCTCACTAACACTGAACACCGAAATAGCAAAAGCACTTTGATAAGGTGTGTACCCGAGGCTATTTACGTAGCCTGGCAGCGCGTACATGGAGTTGATGTAGGCAGTAAGGCAGAGGGCGTTGGGCCATGCTACGAGGTGGAAGTAGGGGTCTTTTAGGAGAGAGTACTTGAGCATGGTGAAGACCTGAGTGAAAAAAAAAGAAGTTAGGTGGAAGTGATTTTCTTGAGATTTTTTTTTATTTTTTATTTCTTTGATGAGTGGGGTAAGGGGTATAATGGTCTTTTCCCATCTGTGCAGATATAATTGCTTTATACATACTCTATGTTCTCACGAAAACGCAAATACACATACACATTAACACACACACACACACACACACACACACACACACACACACACACACACACACACACACACACACACACACACACACACACACACACACAAACCCAAACCCCCAACCCTTACCTTCACGACCACGAAATCGTCACAACAACCCTTCTTCCCGTCGTCCTGGTCGTCTTGATAGACCTTGTTATCAATCGGTATCAACATGGGAATCGAACTCCCCAGGGACATCGCTGAGTCGACCTTCCTCAAGCCAGCCTCGGGAACGCCCTTCGTCGTCGTCGCCACCTTTGACGTGTGTCTCGAGAAGAGGACCACTTCGTCGTCTCTCCTTATGCCTGACGAAGGGACAGTCGCTGAAGCCGCCGTCGAGGGCATCACGAAGAGCACGTTCTCCTCCTCTTCCTCCTCTTCCTCTTCCCTCGACCTCGCGCCCGGGGTAGATTTGCCCTTCCTCTCGCCCTGTCGTGGAGGCTGACCCTGCTGGCGATGACGTGGCTCCTCGACGATGCCGTTCTCCGAGATCACCACGTCTGTCGAGGTGAGGCTGCCGGGCGTCGGAGGCGGGGCGTCGGTCTCTGGGTCTTGGTCCTTCTGGGGAACCTGGATTGGGGGGGGGGGGGTGAGGGTAGGAAGGAGGGAGGGGAGCGAAGGAAGGTGGGAGGGAAGGAGGGGAGGAGAGCGAAGGGAGGTGGGAGGGAGGGGGGGAGGGAAGCGAAGGAAGGAAAGAAGGAGGGAGGGAGGGGAGGGGAGGGAGGGAAGGAGGGAGGGAGGGAGAGAGGGAAGGAAGGAAGGAGGGAGGGAGGGGAGGGAAGGAAGGAAGGAGGGAGGGAGGGGAGGGGAGGGAAGGAAGGAAGGAAGGAAGGAAGGAGGGAGGGAGGGAGGGGAAGGAAGGAGGAAAGTGGGAGGGATGGAGGAGGGAGAAGGATAGAGTGGGAAAAGGGAAGGAAAGAGGAAAGGAAGGTGATAGAGGGGGAGATGGAGGAAGAGGCGAGAGGAGAGAAGGAAGGCGGGAAAGGAGGATGGAGAGCGGGAGAGGGAGGAAAAGGAGGAATGGAAGGTAGGGGAGGGAGGGAAAAGGGATGGGGGGAAGAGGACGGAAAGGAAGGATGGAGGTTGGGAGGCAGGGAAGGATGGAAGGAATGAGAATGAACAAGGAAGTGTCGTACAGGAGAGAGAGAGAGAGAGAGAGAGAGAGAGAGAGAGAGAGAGAGAGAGAGAGAGAGAGAGAGAGAGAGAGAGAGAGAGAGAGAGAGAAAGAAAGAGACAAATAAATAAATCAACCCTCATTCCTTTCTCCCACTTTCCACAAAATACAACAACAACAACTCCTCCTCAAAACTCACTTCACCAAAGCAAAATGCAAAATGCCCGCCAACTTACTAAATGCCATTCGGGCGGGTGATACAGCATACCAGCAAAACAGGTGTGTAGGGAGAGGGCGCCGACAATGAGGCATGCCCAGGTATACCCGTAGACGTCAAGCAACAGACGAAGCAAAGGAGCCATGGCAATCTTTCCTGGAAGTCGATATTATATTAATCCTGATAATAAAGATTTTAATTAATAATGAATGGAAGATTTCGATTACTTAGATCCACGTTTGTTGTATTGTGATTTAATTATTTTAGCTTGGAGGTAGATAAGTGGGTGTTTTTTATATATAAATCCACTTAAGCTCGTATATCGAAAAGTGGATGTATTGTGAATCCACTTCAAGCTTGTGAATAGAAATGCATCGGAAAGTGAAGGTTCGTCAGTTCTCTTTTGTTTATTCATAATAACAGGGGTGTTTTGTGTATTCGTCTCAGCTTAATTATACAAAAGTGAATGAATGACTATACACACTCCCGTGAATACCTTATTCAAAATGGAATTCAAAATATCTATTTTGGATATACTGGTCAGACATTCATTCATCAATTTTGTGTATTATTTCTACAGGTCTTCGTCACCAGACAATAAAACAATAAATCAATCTTTCTGTTTGCTCGAAACTAATTAAAACCACATTATTATTTTCAAATCTGATCATAGAAGAAAAAGAATCCTACGTGAAATATACGAAGTTCAGTTCA